TATAGCTATACACTTTGACTAGTGCCTCACTAGGCCAATCCTAGAGTGGCAATCACGGCCGCATCTCTCGCAGGAAAATATTGAGTTTTGGTGACATCTTAATTTTCGAAATGTTCTTTTTGCTTCAAGGGCATCATTTAAACAATGTTCTGCCTTTTTTACTTTTGCAAACACTGCTGCTCGCGAGTTGGAGCGATGTTCGGCAATGAGCTCTCATTCGTTGTTTTGTTTCAATATTGGTTTCCCTCATGCTTCTTTTACAAACGTCAATAAATCTCAGGGGTGGCCGATCAATATGTCTTGTCCCTTCTGCTAACTCTCGATACAGCAGAATCTTTGGGATACGTCCTTCCTTCCACTCTCCTTACATGGCCTAACCAGCGAAGGCGCCTCTTGCTAAGAAAGGAGAATATGCTAAACATGCGTGCACTTTCCAAAACCTCCACGTTAGGCACCTTGTCCTGCCAACGAATGCGCAAAATGCGACGCAGACATTTTTTATGGAAGCTGTTGAGTTTCCACTTCTGACTGGTATATGATGTCCACACTTCGCTATCATATAGAAGCGTGCTAAGCACGCATGCCTGATAGACACTTATTTGTGTTTTATCAGTTAGATTGAGATTATTCCACACCCGCTTATTCAGTTTAGCCATAGTTGCTGCTGCTTTTGCTATCCTGATATTTATCTCTTCATTAACGGAGAGAGAACTAGAAATATTAGATCTCAGGTGAAAGGATCAACAACCGAAAGATGATGACCCTCAATAGATATGATTGAAGGGCACGGTGCTTCTTGCATCATTACATGTGTTTTCTGAAGACTAATTAAAAGGCCAAACTCTTTACAAGCGTGAGATAGACGATTAACCAGCCCCCACAGACTTTCTTTTGTGTGAGATGTTAAGGCGGCATCGTCAGTGAATAGCAGTTCACAAATCGCCACCATTTTTACTTTGGTTTTTGCATGAAGGCGGGCGATATTGAACAGCCTACCATCAGATCTAGTATGGACGTACACTCCATCTTCAATGTCCCTGAAAGCAAATTGAAGGAGCATCGAAAAGAAAATGGAAAAGAGCGGTGGTGCCAGTACACAACCCTGTTTTAATCCGCTGTTAACTGGAAATGACTCAGAGACAGTGCCATTGAAAGTTACTATCATGTGCATGTTGTTTTTGAAATAACTGTATTATTGTGGGCAGTCTTTGGGGACAACCTATTCTTTGCAATATACTGAAAAGGCCTCTCCGACTTACCAAGGTCATATAATGTTTTGGGGTTGGTGATCGAGTTTGGTTGATGTCCATTGAATTGTAAGTTGGTAGAGTTTGGTTGATGTCCATTGAATTGTAAGTTGGTAGAGTTTGGTTAATGTCCATTGTATTGTAAGTTGGTAGAGTTTGGTTGATGTCCATTGAATTGTAAGTTGGTAGAGTTTGGTTGGTGTCCATTGTATTGTAAGTTGGTAGAGTTTGGTTGATGCCCATTGTATTGTAAGTTGGTAGAGTTTGGTTGATGTCCATTGTATTGTCAGTTGGTAGAGTTTGGTTGATGTCCATTGAATTGTGTCCACGTTATATATTATGTTTAATAGTATTTTTATATCGAACATTGTTAATATCACTGGCTTTTGTTTCATTGTTCTATTCACGGTGGTTTTCCATCCATTCTTGCGTATTGTTCAACTCAATCTGAAGCAGATGAAAAATACTTACATCCCTTCACGCTACGTAACATTGTCCATTTACAATTTACAAAAATTTAAAAAAAAATCAATTTCTCGATCTGAAAACTTAGTGCTCTAAAATTAGATCATTCTAAAATACCAACTAATATTTAAGGGAAAAAAAGACAAGTGTTAGAAACACGGTTACGACAGCAGATACCTTTATGATTGCAGGAATCACATTAACTGACTTTAATTCACGTGTGTGGGGGTAGGTGATCGAGTGTGTGGGGGTAGGTGATATATATGTGTTAATGTAGGTGATCGAGTGTGTGGGGTAGGTCAAATAATGTGTGGGAGTGGGTGATCGCGTGTGTGGGGGAAGTGATATATATATTTGGGGGTAGGTGATCGAGTGGTTTGGGGTAGGTCATATAATGTTTGGGGTAGGTGATCGAGTGTGTGGGGGTATGTCATATAATGTTTTTTGGTAAGTGATCGAATGAGTGGGGGTAGGTGATATAATGTTTGGTGGTAGGTGATGGAGTGTGTGGGGCTAGGTGATGTAATGTGTAGGGGTAGGTGATCGAGTGTGTGGGGATAGGTCATATAATATTTGGGGTAAGAGATCGAGTGTGTTAGGGTAGGTGATATAATGTTTGGTGGTAGGTGATGGAGTGTGCTGGGGTAGGTGATATAATGTGTAAGGGTAGGTGATCGAGTGTGTGGGTGTAGGTCATATAATGTTTTTTGGTAAGTGATCGAATGAGTGGGGGTAGGTGATATAATGTTTTCGGTATGTGATCGAGTGTGTGGGGGTTGAAGATATACTGTTGCGGGTAGGTGATAGAGTGTGTGGGGTAGGACATATAATTTTTGGCGGGAGATGATCAAGCATGTTGAGATAGCTGATATAATGTTTGGGTGTATGTGGTCGAGTGTGGGTTTAGTTCATATAATAATTGGGGTTGATTATCGAGTGTGTGGGGGTAGTTTATATAATATTTGGAGGTAGTTGATCGAGTGTGTGGGGGTAGGTGATCGAGTTTGTGGGGTAGATTATATAATGTTTGGGGGTTGGTGATCGAGTGTGTGAGGGTAGGTCATATAATAATTGGGGTTGATTATCGAGTGTGTGGGGGTACTTTATATAATATTTGGAGGTAGTTGATCGAGTGTGTGGGGGTAGGTGATCGAGTTTGTGGGGTAGGTTGTATAATGTTTGGGGGTTGGTGATCGAGTGTGTGAGGGCAAGCGATCGAGTGTGTGGGGGTAGGTCATATAATTTTTGGAGGTAGGTGATCGAGTGAGTTTGTGTAGGTGATATAATAGTTTGGGGTAGATGATCGAATGTGTGGGGATAGGTGATCGAGTGTGTGGGGGTAGATCATCGAGTTTGTGGGGTAGGCCATACAATGTTTGGGTGTAGGTGATCTATTGTGTTGGGGTAGGTGATATAATGTTTGGGGTTTATGATCGAGTGTGTGGGGGTAGTTCATATAATATTTGGGGTTTATGATCGAGTTTATGGGGGTAGTTCATATAATATGTGGGGTTTATGATCGAGTGTGTGGGGGTAGTTCATATAATATTTGGGGTTTATGATCGAGTGTGTGGGGGTAGTTCATATAATATTTGGGGTTTATGATCGAGTGTGTGGGGGTAGTTCTTCTTCTATATCTTCTTCTATATCTTAAGGGCCCACGATCAATTTATTGATCATTTTGGCTCCTACTTGATTTATCACTTAGGCTGCAACTGAAATTTTACTGCTAACAATATGAAAGTGAAAGTTAACAATAGTCAAGATTTAATTATGACCAAAAAGTCCTTTTTTACTGCAGAAAAATAAACATGGAAATGAATGAACCACATAATTAAAATAGCAGGATAAGTTACATTGCAAAGGCTGCCTAAAAAATCTATATATATTATAACAAGCAATGAAACAAAATTATCATGAGACATATTTTCTCTTTTTAGTAAATAATTAATTGATATAAGCTACCTAAGTCAGAGACAGATTTAGACTTGTACTTAGTCTGGCACTGAAGCCAGATTTAGACTTGTGCTTAGTCTGGCACTGAAGACAGATTTAGACTTGTGCTGAGTCTGGCACTGAACTGAACAAAGTTTACATACACAGACATAAAGTGCAGAATACTTTTAAATTAAAATATTGCGTTCCACAAAATAACACCCCAGGTCAGTGTTGAAATAGTCAGTGTCCAGGTCAGTGTTGAAATAGTCAGTGTTCAGGTCAGTTTTGAAATAGTCAGTGTCCATGTTTAAAGAACTTTGGAGACTTTCGTTGCATTAGTCATACAATCTTTTTAAGCACAACAAAAACCCTTTAAATCTAACTTAAGAAAACATAGAGGATTTAACTAAACATTGGAAGTGATAAATATTTTAATTTTTTTTTAAATTGTTGAATATTTAACAAAATACACCCTTTTTTTGGTCACAAAATCCAACCCTTTTTTGTGTGGATAACCTCATTTTCTAGTAATGTTAAGTTGAATTTAGTAAAATAAATCACTTTCACTTATGTAATATTATTATTAGTTGGTTAACATGTAGCTAAAATAAGAAACTTTCTCGCCTTCATATGAGAAATGGGTAAGACAAATCTCACAAGGCACAAACATGCTAACAGATGAGTAGATGAGAAATAATACTTTTCTTTAATGCTCTTTCACAGCATAGCCTGCGGCACATCGTCATTTTCATTCAAATCAGTTTGCATAATAATAAATGTCTGATTCTGCTTATCATAAATAAGAATAGTTAAAACAGAGTGAGCATCCTATGATTCACTAAATGCAGAAGAAAGGATAATGCCATCAAATCCTTGTGAGCAGAATTTAAAAAAAAACAAAAAAACATTAAAATTATCTTATCATGCAACAGAAATCATGGTGATAAAAACACTCTATTTTTTTTTTTTTAAATATTGGTTATTTTTTATGCAGTAAGGCATTTTATGGTATGTAATAAAAATGGACAAGAAGGAGCAAGAAAACAACCTTAAGTGGATTAATGCCAATAAATTTGCAAAGTGTAAAAGTTGCTTCACTTAGATCAAAATACATAAATTACACAATTTTTCAAGGAAATTCTTCTGAGAGTTTTTGTTTGACTGAGTCACAGACTTCTTTAAAGAAAAAGTTGAAAAATGAACCTTAACTTTAAATAATGTAAAAATTACATACACTGTATATGCATATAAAATATAACTGCTTAAAAATTTAATAGCTGTTTAAAAGAGAATTATATGCTTTCACAAACATATGAAGTATGTAAATGCCCCCAAAATCATCTGGCCTTATGACTTGACAATGGCCATGCATTTGAGGTAATCCTTCCTCACAGGATGATCCTCTGCGCCAGGCCGATTGATGGGTGTCCAAGTAGGTTCACCAACAAAGAGACGCTTTGCTTTGATGTAGTTCGAAGAGTCCAGTGTGAATCTGTGGTAAATACCGGCTGGAACAATGATCAAGTCGTCTTTGACCGCCTCAACCCTAACCCACTTGTCATCACGGTCACGGAAGTCAAAATATCCACAGCCGGCAGTCACAAATCTTATTTCCTCATCTGAATGAATGTGCTCAGTGTAGAAGGCTTTCAGCTTGTTGTCGTAATCTGGTAAAGTGTCTTTTGAAATTTCACAGACATCTTCGAAAGTGTACCCTTTTTTTTTCTCAGTTCTGCAAGTTCATTATTCAACTCCCATGTGTCTGCATCAAACTTGAAATAATCCACACCGGTTTTTTTGTTGAGTTCCTCAAAGCTTAGAAATACTGGTGGGTCCAACATGTGTGGCTCTCTTTTATCAGAGTCAGAATCATCCATGTACCAGGCTCGAACCATTTTTACGTTTACAATAGATCAGTGAATAACAGAATGATGCTTTGTTTCTATTGATATTGTAGTTCATATAATATTTGGGGTTTATGATCGAGTGAAGGGGGTAGTTCATATAATATTTGGGGTTTATGATCAAGTGTGTGGGGGTAGTTCATATAATATTTGGGGTTTATGATCGAGTGTGTGGGGACAGGTCATATAATGTTTGGTGGTAGGTGATCTAGTGTGTTGGGGTAGGTGATCGAGTGTTTTGGTTAAGAGATCGAGTGTGTGGGGGAAGGTGATCCTTAAGTTATGACACACGTTGTAATACGTCTTACTAATACTGAAACAATTCAAATTATTTTTCATCATACATACCACTTAAAATCTCGTTCTATACAAGGCCTTTAAACTCCATACACACATGTACAGCGCAGCTTACTATCAGAGAGAAATCAAAGACACTCTTCTGACATAATATTCCTTTCAAGACTCTCAGACGAATAAAACGTATGTAACAAAACATACTCAACAGTATGTCATAATTAGCATCAAAATACGTCAAAATGTCAAGTGCGGTAAAGCTTTCATTAACTAATTAATTTCTTAAACACATACCACACGTCATGAAATATCCATTCAAAATAATTATTAATAAACTCCAATTCTCAACGTTGTTCAACTGTGAAGAGGTAGATCATAAAGTAGCGAGGTAGGTAATCGAGTGTGTGGTGGTAGGTAATCGAGTGTGTGGTGGTATGTGGTTGGGTGTGTAGGGGTAGGTAATCGAGTGTGTGGTGGTAGGTGGTTGGGTGTGTGGGGGTAGGTAATCGATTGTGTGGTGGTAGGTGGTTGAGTGTGTGGAGGTAGGTAATCGAGTGTGTGGATGTAGGTAATCGAGTGTGTGGTGGTAAGTAATCGAGTCTGTAGTGGTAGGTAATCGAGTGTGTGGTGGTAGGTAATCGAGTGTGTGGTGGTAGTTAATCGAGTGTGTGGTGGTAAGTAATCGAGTCTGTAGTGGTAGGTAATCGAGTCTGTATTGGTAGGTAATCTAGTGTGTGGTGGTAGGTAATCGAGTGTGTGGTGGTAGGTAATCGAGTGTGTGGTGGTAGGTGGGTGGGTGAGCGGAGAAATGAAAGTCATGATATAAACGTCACGGAAACATTGTCACCAATGTTAGAATGAAAAAAAAACAAAAAAACAGGAATCAGATTTCATAGAGAAATCCTGAGAAGTTTAGGGAACAAATTAATTTTGATCTGTTTCGTTCAGACTACTCTTGTTCGGTTACAATAATGAGCTTAAGAGTGATTACATGTATGTGATCGTACACCAGCAGGGGAGCACCTTGTTAAACTCTGACAAGATTGGGCAACCAAATCAAGTTTATTGTTATTCAATATTTAATATTCATGTTTATTGCCCTCCAGTAGATCAATAGAAATAATTTTGAATAATGCATATCATTAAATGCGTTATATGAAATATAATATATTATACATGACACAAATATCGGTAACACACACACACACGCTAGACGAACCAAAAAATAATTATTGATATTATAAATGTATGAATTAAAATGTTTATTTACAATATAAATAACAGTCACAATTTAATTCCAAACAAGAATCAAAACACTATCCGATTGAGTTACTGCTATTTTACTAGTTACTTTTTTCAGTAAATAAACATGTATAGTAACTTACAAATTTAGTTTCAAAATCACTTACACTTGGAGTTTTCATGATGCATACATTAAGATTTTTTAGCTGGGACTTTTTTCTCTCAATTACAGTTTGAATGTGGGAGTATGTTGTTGGTCTTGTGTTGGGGTTGGTTGTTGTATTTAGTGTTAGTTGATTGAATGTGGGGATATATGGTCTTTGTTGTGGTTGGTTGTTCTATTTAGTGGTAGTTGATTGAATGTGGAGATATATGGTATTTGTTGGGGTTGGTTTGTTGTATTTAGTGTTAGTTGATTGAATGTGGAGATACATGGTCTTGTTTTGGTGGTGGTTGTTGTATTTGGTGGTAGTTGATTGAATGTGGGGATATATGGTCTTGTGTTGGAGTTGGTTGTTAAATTTGGGATTAGTTGATTGATTGTGGGGATATATGGTCTTGTGTTGGTGTTGGTTGTTGTATTTAGGGGTAGATGATTGAATGTGGGGATATATGGCCGTGTGTTGATGTTGGTTGTTGTATTTGGTGGTAGTTGATTGATTGTGGGGATATATGGTCTTGTGTTGGTTTTGGTTGTTGTATTTTGCGGTAGTTGATTGAATGTTGCGATATATGGTCTTGTGTTGTGTTGGTTTTTGTATTTGTTGGTAGTTGTTTGAATGTGGGGATATATGGTCTTGTTTTGGTGTTGGTTGTTGTATTTGGTGGTAGTTGATTGAATGTGGAGATATATATGTGTAGCGGTGGATGATCAGTTGTAAATCTAAGTTGTTGGTTTTGCTGGAATAAGCTGTCAGAAGTGAGGTTAGACGGGCAGTTGAGTAGCTAAGTTGTCATTTGTGTTGGGAAAGGTTGTAAGATATCGGTTTATGTGGTCTCGGGTCGGAACCGGTAAGACAATACATTCAAAATTCTTACAATAACAGGGGATCCCTGCCGACCTGTTCGTGACAGAGTGACAGGTGTTTGTTTTGGGTATTATTTTTTTTTTTATTTTATATTATCTTGTCATGTAGACAATAATTATGCCCAAGTGTCAATGTACGTCTTAGGATGAGTTTTCCAAAGAGTGGACCTACATTTAAAAGGGACACTAGATAGTGAAGTCCAGTGCACAATTTGCAATAATGTTTTCAGTATTGGTATCCAACGCCCCCCACCCCAAAAAAACTGTCCTAGAAAGTGTCCCGTTTTTTTCCAGTTCATGATTTGGTCACCCTAGTGTAAGTTAAATTTTCCAAAACCAAGATTATAGGAAGTGAAAGAATATGTTGAATTGATACTGTGACAAATAAGGTCTTTAATCTTAAAGGACACATATGTGATTGTGATGTAAAGTATGTGATATAAGAAAAGAAAAATAAATAGGTGTATCACATGTGAACAACAAGGGAATAGATTTATTTAGTACGATTGAATAGAGTTTGAGGATACGATCAGAGGGAACGAGTCCATCATTTTCTTGGCTTATCTAAAAGTTCTTCAACTACTCAAGAAACCATACAGTCTGAGATGTGGTGAGAAGGTTATAAGGCTTTCAAAAGCATAGCTGTATCAGACACGTCAAAGTCATGCTTTTCACAAGCACAATATTAGCATGACATTCAAGCCATGCATTTTAGAAACACAACATTATCATGCATGTGGGAGCTAACAAAAAAACCAACGGACATTTCTCTGAGAGTGATTGGCCTCTAAAAGAAATTAGGAGTGATTAAGTGTGTTACATTTTTAGAGTGATTAAGTGTGTTACATTTTTAGAGTGATTAAGTGTGTTACATTTTTAATTTTCGTAATTGACCCAGTCAGTGCGAGTTGTTTTATTTGTAATAATATATAAAATTATTGAAAACATTTGACGAATAATAAACGTTTTCAAGGTGATAGGAAAGTAGTCAAAAGGGGACCTCCGTAAAGTAGTTTGACCAGGAGGTCAAGGCCAGCATAGACTTTTTTTGATATCAATAAAAGAAGGTCATTTAGGAAAATTTCAGACTTTGTTTCCTGGAAGTTTCTGCAAAATGCATGGCCTCCTTGGATGGTGTTAAATCCCCCTTCCCCCCCTCCTCCCGAAACAGGAATGCCTTAGAGTATTCGAACAAACACACACATACAAAGTTAATACATATTTACTTCAACATTATCATTTAGAACCGCTTACCCTATTTCTAATGGATACGTATATGACCTAGTGGTGTAGCGGTGGAGAGGGCTTACAAATTGTTTCCATTGGCCAATTGACACTATTGATTTGCCGAGAGACTTGATTAGCCTCGTAATGGGGACAACAGCGCCCATCCTGCTCATAGTGTTAGAACTGTGACTAGTAGATAAACCTCTCATTCCTTAAATATCACTTGCACGTAGAGGCAACAGCTCAAGTTTTTCATTTTTACGGTTGTCAGTAAACAGTGAGATACGTTCCTTTCTTTTTGGTTCTGTTGATGTTTGAACTGACTTAGCTAAGATTCAAATACTATCTTTTCTTATTGGTTCTGTTGATGTACTAGCCATAGATTGAACTGACTTAGCTAAGATTCAAATAATCTCTTTTCTTATTGGTTCTGCTGATGTACTAGCCATAAATTGAACTGACTTAGCTAAGATTCAATTACTCTCTTTTTTTATTGGTTATATTGATGTACTAGCCATAGATTGAACTGACTTAGCTGAGATTCAAATACTCTCTTTTCTTATTGGTTCTGTTGATATACTAGCCATAGATTGATTTGACTTAGTTGAGATTCAAATACTCTCTTTTATTATTGGTTCTGTTGATGTACTAGCCATAGATTGAACTGAATTAGCTAAGATTCAAATACTCTCTTTTCTTATTGGTTCTGTTGATGTACTAGCCATAGATTGAATTGACTTAGCTAAGATTCAAATACTCTCTTTGCTCTTAAACGCATACAAAATAATGGCGTTTAATTGGTTTTTATTTGTTGTTAAAATTTAGTAAATATATTTTTTTTTAAATGTGTTGCTTAAAATAGTTTCCTCATTGTGTTTGCAACATGGACAAGAAAAATTTCTTCACTGTTACAGCGTTTATGATAACAAGAGGTGAGTTAATAAACTGATCTTCTAATTACTATACTTCACTGTAATAATGAAAACAAAACTTAACTTTTACTTTGGATATTTTTGAACACTTCATTTGGGAAGCCAACGTCTTACTCAGCCCCCCCCCCCCAACCCCCATTATCTAAGAAACTTTTGTTGAGCCTTAAATCATATTTCCTATAATCTGATGTTTTTATCTGTTTTTTAAATTAGTCACACATTGTTTTCATCAAACTCGGAAATCATTAGATCGTTTTAACTCCATGGACAAT